AATATATATTTTTTTTTATATTACCGGCCTTGTCACCTCCAACTGCCCCCCCCCCCCGCCAGCCTGGGCACCTCATGCAGCCTGCTGTTCAGTTGTTTGGTCATCCCTCACTAACCCTCCTGCTGGCCTGGTCACCCCATGCAGCCTGGTGTTCAGTTGTTTGGTCATCCCTCACTAATCCCCTTGCCAGCCTGGTCGCCCCATATAGCCTGCTGTTCGGTCGTCCATCCAGTTGTTTCAGTTGTGATGGCCCCTGGCTTTTTACATATTGGGATTCACTTCTCTTTTCACCGGATCAAGAGCAAGCTACATTTTAAAAGGTTCCAATGCATAAAAAAAATACTTAAGCATTACTTACAATAGTCAAAGGTAGAAACAATCTAAGTGTCCATCAATGGATGAAAGGATAAACAAAATGTGGTATGTACATACAATGGCATATTATTCAGCCTTAACAAGAGGAAATTCTGACACGGATCATCTTGAAGACATTATGCTAAGTGACAAATGCAGGGTGAGGCAAAAGTAGGTTTATAGTTGCTTATATGGAAAATAATACAATAATCAGTAAATGATAATACAAAAATAAACTGTTTTGGATACTCACAACTGTAAACCTGCTTTTGCCCTATCTTGTATTATATCATTGCATTTGTATGAAGTAGCTGGAATTGTCAAATCCATAGAGACTGAAAGTAGAAAGGTGGTTTCCAGGGACTGGGGGAGATGGGAAATGGTAGCTATTGCTTAATGGACACAAACTTTCAGTTTTGCAAGATGGGGAAGTTCTGGAGATTGGTTGCTGAACAATATAAATATACTTAACATTACTGAACTGCACACCTACAAAGGTTAAGAAGGTAAATTTTATGTTATGTGTATTTTATCATAATTAAAAATTTTTTTAAATATATTTAAAGGAGGGAACAAGATCGAACAGGAAGGGAAGGGTTAACTGATAAATTAGAGTCTGCTGAGAGATTTTAAGTTTTTGCCCAGTTGCTGCTGGCAACTCCCTGATCCCCACTCTCATGGGGATAGTTACTCTATCTCCTGTCTGTGTTCAACTACCTGCCTACCCTAAGGGAGAGAAAGGTGCCCAGCATTGCAATTCTTTTCTATGTTTATCTCGTACATCACTTTCTGTACCTCAATCCTGTCTGTCTTAGAATTGGGGGTCACTGATCTCAGGAATGAAAGGAAATAAGAAGTCTTTCTTCCTCAGGAAAGGGCGAAGGTCCTTGAGCAAAGTCAAGGATGTGAGGAAGGACTTCCTCCTGGAAGTCCATTTACTCCCTGTCCCTGAATCTTACCTTAGCCTTGCGTTTGCTGTCATCCATGATCATTTTCCAGTCTGAGCCATTGTTGCTGTACCCAATCTTGAACTTCCTCATGGACACTTTGTTCTCCCGGTGCTTTCCCCCCTGAATGATGATGCCCCTCACAATCTTCTCCTCCCCTAAGTCCACTTGGAGCCACTCATTTATGTATGGATGAGGTGCGGGTGGCAGTACCCAGCCAGAGCGACTAGTCACAAGGCGAATGTTTTCAGGCATCCAGTTCCTGTCCCCTTGGTTTGAGGCTGTAATCTGGGAGTCAGAAATAAGACCAGACACCATGCCCAACATTCCAGAACAAGGATAATCTAGAGGGTGAAATGAAATAGATAATGTGAAATGATTTTATGCTTAGAAAGAATATGACATATTGAGTAAAAACATTTTCTGTACCCATGCCTATAAGTGTTTAAGTCTTTGTATCATTTATATCACATTTCAATAAAGAAAAATTTCAATAAGAACATACATTTCCCTTCTTTCTGAGTTATTCCAAGACAATTAATAACATCATAGATCTTTTTATATCTTCTATAGCAACCCATGTAGCTTCTGAGAATAATGAGGGTATCAATCATTGAGTAATTGATTGGGAGCTTAAAAACAAAATGGTGGGCAGCCATGGAGCTGGAGCAAGCGGGAGGCTTGGTTGCCCCAATGATGGAGGAAGCCAAGCTTCCCGCCTGCCGCGGCCAGCTCTGAGCTCCACACAAAGCAACAAAGTTTCAATTATAAAAGATAAATAAACCCCAGATACATGCTTTCAGCCAGCCATGGCCACGAAGCTGGAGCGAGCAGGAGGTTTGGGTTGCCCCTGGCGATGGAGGAAGCCAAGCTTCCATCCCGCCCACCCTGGCCGGCTCTGAGCTCCACTCAAGGCTACAAAGTTTCAATTATAGAAGGTAAATAAATCCCAGAATTAAAAAAAAAAAAGAAAAAAAGGAGAGGCTGGAAGCTTCCATTGCTGGGGGGCTCAGCCAGCCTGAACACGGCCCTCAACCCCTCACCCAGACTGGCCAGGCACCCCAGTGGGGACCTCCCACCCTGAAGGGGTGTGACCAGCCTGCAAACACCCATCAGCCCTGCACCCAGGCTGGCCAGCCACCCCAGTGGACCCCCACCCTGAAGGGGGTATGACCAGCTTGCAAACAGCCATCAGCCCCTCACCCAGGCTGGCCAGGAACCCCAGTGGGGACCCCCACCCTGATCCAGGACACGCTTCAGGGCAAACTAGCTGGACCCCACCTGTGTATCAGGCCTCTATCCTATATAATAAAAGGGTAATATGCAAATTGACCCTAACAACAGAACAACTGGGAATGACTGGCCACTATGACACACACTGACCACCAGGGGCCAGACGCTCAATGCAGGAGCTTCCTCCTGATGGTCAGTGCGCTCCCACAGGGGGAGCTCTGCTTAGCCACAAGCCAGGCTGATGGCTGCCAGTACAGTGTTGGTGGTGGGAGCCTCTCCCGCCTCCTCAGCAGTGCTAAGGATGTCTGACTGCAGCTTAGGCCTGCTCCCTGCTGGCAAGTGGACATCCTCCGAGGGCTCCCAGGCTGCGAGAGGGATGTCTGACTGCCAGCTTAGGCCCAATCCCCCGGGGAGCGGGCCTGAGCCAGCAGGTGGTCATCCCCCGAGGGTCCCAGACTGCAAGAGGGCACAGGCCAGGCTGAGGGAACCCCCTTAGTGCACAAATTTTTGTGCACCGGGCCTGACCTCTAATATATATATATATATATATATATATATATATATATATATATACACACACAGATATATATATCTGTATATACACTGAGTGGCCAGATTATTATGACCACACACACACACACACAAAAATGGTCAACACTTCAATTATTCTCCTTTCCAAATTATACATCTCAAACAAAGACATGCACAGGAATAATAACCTATTTTTCTTTGAAACAACTCAATTCTGCATAATATAATCAAAAGTTAGTCTCAAGATATAAGCATCTAAAGAGGCATATATCTAATACAGTTAAACTATGTCCATGTTATCAGTTGAAACTTAAGAATTAATTATTGAGGTACTTTCCAGATCATGGATTGATATACAGTATAGATCATGTCATTTCTTTTCACACATTTTGTGCCTACTCACATAGCAATTATGCATGCACTTTCTTTTTTTTCTTTATTGATTAAGGTATTACATATGTGTCCTTATCCCCCCATTGCCCCCCAAACCCCCCACTCATGTCCTCACCCCCCTAGTGTCTGTGTCCGTTGGTTAGGCTTATATGCATGCATACAAGTCATTTGGTTGATCTCTCTCCCTTACCCCAGCCCTCCCCTACCTTCCCTCTGAGGTCTGATCGATGCTCCTCTGTCTCTGGATCTGTTTTTGTTAATCAGTTTATGTTGTTCATTATATTCCACAAATGAGTAAGATTATGTGATATTTATGCATGCACTTTAAACCAAGGATGCCAGGCCTTCCATAGGATGTCCTTGCAAAGCCTCTTCTCATTTACCCCTTTAGATAGAGACAACTGAAATGAAGAACTCCTTCACCAGAGGTGTGGGGCATGGGGAGGCTTTCTTTCATTCTGTTCCCTCCATCTTGCCCTTCCCGCTATCTGACCAGTTAAAATCTTGACCCATTTTCAAATGCCATGTCAGTTATTCTCATCTCTCCAACTGGGGTAGTTTCCTTTTCTGGAGGTCTTCTCCTATATCAATGGCCACATTTAGTTCCTTGGATGACTGCTATTTGCCTCCCCACATTTTAAATTCTGTTGATGGAGGAACCACATCCTATTTAAAAATTTTCTACGATTCCTTGTGCCTTGCTTTATAAATAGTATTTGCTCAACAAATATTCAGTGAATGAATCAAATTATTAACACAACAAAAGGCAGCTGTCCATTTTCAAAGCACCTTTTCTTAGATGGGATCTGGAAACGAACAATACTGTAAATTCAATGGGGCTTATGAAAAGATTTACAAAAACTATTTTACTGTGGGGATATAAAATTATAGTGTTAAAAATAGAAATCATATTTTTAGTCAGTGTGGTCAGACCTGTTTGATTCAAAACCAGATGTTACCATTTGGAGAAAAACACAATTAACTTGAATATTTTACCAACAGCAGAACCTTTACCATATCAATGTCCTTTCTCTAATGCAGAGCTGGCTAGGGTGCAGTTTACAACCCACAAACCTAGCATGCCCAACTTCTATTTGGCCAACGAATACATGGAGGACAGACTGCCATTCCTTCTGTCTGTCTGTCTCATCCAAAAACAACAAAGAACAGTAAAAGGGAAACTAGATTGGGCTTTGACCGAAAATTTTGAGAGTCTTTCAGCAATTCTTGGGAGAAACAAACAAACAAACAAACAAACAAACAAAACCCCAAACAATTCAAGGTGTAAATGAGATGGAGGGATTTAATTTCATTTTCCATAGTAGTAGGCTGGGTCAGATGTACTTCAGCCTGGCTACATGTCAAATCCTTTGCAAATAGTATTGCCAGATTTAGCAAACAAGCAATCAGATAAAAAGACAAAACAAAATAAAACAAAACAAACAAACAAACAGAAAACAAGAAACATGATTCCAAGCTAAATTAGAATTTCAAACAAATAAGGAATGATCTTTTAGTATAAGCATGTCCCAAATATGGCATGGAGCATACTTATCCTAAAAAATTATCTGTCATTTATCTGCATAAGACTTAAATGGACATTTTATATTTTACCTGGTAACCCTGTTTGCAAAGCTTAAAAACTAGTCCTAGATGAAAAGAAGAGATGAGTTCTGTGATGGTGAATTGAGGTGGTTGTTTTCACTAACATTATTTTACAATAAAATCTTTGTACTTTAATGGGAAAACTGAGATATACTGATAAGTCAAATACTCAGTTAACCAATTTTCAAAGAATGAGAAGGTAATAACTTCAGTTGATGGAAGAACCTGAATGAGCATAATTAACTCTTCCCCTGATGACTCAGAAAGTATCTTTGGATGCTGTGGTGCCTGAGATCATCACTGAGTTCTGATTAACATAGGAACACACTAATGTGTGCAGAAGCACTAGTTAATACATGCCTGGATAACAAATACAAGGTTGTAGTGTGTTCTCATACATTAAGCAGTTACCCTACAAGATTAATTTTACCAATTTCCATCTTTGCCAAAATGATAAAACCTGCTTTGTCAATAACCTATAAAGTAGAATGGTTTGCTACATTCTTATTTGTATCTCTATAGGATGACACATCATTGTATACTCGATTACCCAGGATTAAAAATTTCAAAAAAGCATTTTTTGAATACTTCAAATCTACAAAAATTAGATTAAAACTGGGCTCTGGAGAGTTTGGAAGTCAAGTGCTGAATTCACATGGTAACTTTTAATTCAAAGGTCAAATTTTGAGATCAATCACTTGTTTCTCAGAAGGCATGGATAAAACTCCAATTCATTCATTCACTCATTCATTCAAAAATCAGCACGTAGAACACATTATGTTCCAGGCATATAAGACACAATAACCAAGGGCCTAAATAGACACCTTTCAAAAGAGGACATCCAGAAAGCCAAGAGACATATGAAAACATGCACAAAGTCACTAATCATCCGAGAAATGCAAATCAAAACAACAATGAGGTACCATCTCACACCTGTCAGAATGGCTATCATCAACAAATCAACAAACGACAAGTGCTGGAGAGGATGTGGAGAAAAAGGAACACTCGTGCACTGCTGGTGGGAATGCAGACTGGTGCAGCCACTATGGAAGACAGTATGGAGTTTCCTCAAAAAAACTAAAAATGGAACTCCCATTTGACCCTGTGATCCCACTTCTAGGAATATATCCCAAGAAACCAGAAACACCAATCAGAAAGGATATATGCACCCCTATGTTCATAGCAGCACAATTCACCATAGCTAAGATCTGGAAACAGCCTAAGTACCCATCAGTAGATGAATGGATTAGAAAACTGTGGTACATCTACACGATGGAATACTATGCTGCTGTAATAAAGAAGGAACTCTTACCATTTGCAACAGCATGGATGGATCTGGAGAGCATTATGCTAAGTGAAATAAGCCAGTCAATGAAGGAAAAATACCACATGATCTCACTCATTTATGGATAATAAAGACCATTATAAACTTATGAACAAAAATAGATACAGAGGCAGAGCTGCCTCAAACAAACAGTCAAACTACAGCGGGAAGGCCGGGGAGGGTTGGGGGGCAGGAGGGGGGGTGTTAAGAGATCAACCAAAGGACTTGTATGCATGCATATAAGCATAACCAATGGAC